CTTTTGGCCGCTAATTCTATGGATTATAAGAATTTTCTAAAAATAAATTATTTTGTTGGTTGTAGGAGGGGCGGGCACTAAAGAATGGTTTAATTCAACAGAAATTACGATAGATTTGAACCCTTCTTGACGAACATGAAAGAATTGTCCTAAACTCAAGTACCACTCTATGATATGTCCTCAAGTAGCAGGAACGAACGGCCGACAATGGGCCGTCCTTCAGTATTGTGGCTACGCGGGTGTTCAATATAAAAACTATTATCTTGCCAAATGTTCTCAGACTTAAAGGATTGAGTAATAGTAAAGTAAAATGTAATTCGAATCATGTGTATCAGGACAGAGTCCAGTGGTCGGCTCCTGAGAACACGGTAATAAAGCTACGCCTTTCATAAAAGCGAGAAATTTGTCGTCCAGCCCAGTTCCTCGAGAGAGACGATGCTCATCGAGGTATTTGTATTTGGTAATAGGACGGCTTTGAATCAAAATGTATGTCTTATTACATGTTTATTTTGAAATTGTCATAATTTTTGCAGTTAATTTATTTACATCTATTTTGGATCTTGTAAAATAATAACCTAATTTGACGCTGTTAGAGATAGATATGCAAATTTAAAATACGACCTGTTTTGTTAATGCAGGATCAAAATCCAAACGCTATTTCACATGATGATTCTGAGATGATTATGACTTACTTTCTTCGTTCAGCATATGATCAACATCGCAGACACGTTTTACATAAGAAACTTACATCCTTCAGAACCATATTACATACAATTGTAGAGCTATAATTAGAAGCTATGTGGGTTTAAATATTAATGTCTTCATTCTAGACTGATTAAATATTAAAGAAAGGTCTTAACAGCTACCTGGCTACTTTAAGAATAAAAAGTTCTTAGTTCTAAAACAAGTAGGATTTATCATGATATGAATATTTATCAATGGTATCGTATGTTCAGACAAAATGTTTAACACAATAACTGTGACATTGTTCTTTTGCACTTTGAGAACATGAATGGTTTAAATATATTGCCAGCAAAATGATGTTGATAAAACACGTCTACCTTAACACTGAAGGAGACTATGAATATGAGAACTCGTTTGAAAAAGCTCGAGATGAGTCGAAAAACCAGCTGTTGTGTTGACGGTGGTTATAACTCTTCAATTTCTATGTTAAGTGGTATGACGCATGTTAAATGTGATCTTATGGGTTGTGTAGATGATTTCGTTTCGGAGGAAATTATCGCCTCCATCTTCAGGCTAAGTATCGAATTAGAATGTGGGACGTTTATATAGGTGATGTAGATGGTGGAGAGCCAATAGACTTATTCCACTCTAAAAATGGAGACGATACGTATCTCCAAAACGTTACTAACCACCTGTAAGACGACCACTCGGTTTTCACCGCCGTGAGACCCTCAGTCCGTTATCTCACAAAACAAGAACTGGGATTACTCCACACTTATCTCATAAATGTTGCTTGGAGTCGCTTATTGTCTCACCCTACCACAAAATTCAAACTGGAAATAATTCCTAACAAACTTGTTCCAAATACTGTAAGCTTCTTTGCATTATTACAGATATTAATGCGAGTTAAGTTGTTTAACATGGCAGAACGGTCTACTTGTCTCTGAGGTAGACCAGCTTGAAACTTCTCCTGCATGATGCTTGTCTTTGGTTTTACACATGAGCTGTATAATTTATGACATAATAGCACGAAAGTATTTTAAGCCGTCGCTTAGCAGATAGCTAGTAAAACCATAATATTGTTCTTTCTCATTTGGCTCCATTCGCCATGGTGGCAAACCAAAGCTTTACTATAAACTTGAACCACATCATATGACTCTTGGCGGTCGATTTTATAATACATCTTTAAACGAAGGGTTTCTTTATTTAATTCCACAAAATTGTAAACCATACAACCAAATCTTAAAACTTTGCATACCGTGTAGTGTATTAGAATATAAATAAGCAAACAAGCACTATTGCTATTTAAAACTTCTTTTCAATTTCTTGCAAAAAGATTTCAGATAAAATACTAGAAATATGTTGGCAATAGTGTCTTCTTTATAGCGTTAATAGTTGTTTGTGTTCTTATTTACATACAACCAAACATTCACTTTTCATGTCTTTTGAAGGATGTTCACAGGCGAATTCCTGATTCACTTCCCCTGCTAACAACTTAATCCGACATTTAAGCCAAACCCGAGAGATTGTTTAATCGGTCTCTTGTTCGTAGTAACTAACGTCGTACAACTAGGAGAAACATCAGGTTCTGACGGTTAGTATGAGGATGGCTGTCTTATGGGATGTTGCTTCGTGCAGTCTGGTAGATACTAACTGCCGTTTCAGATGTTCCAACTGCCTCCATCATCAGGGTGCGATGATGGAAGCAGTAAGCATCATCATCATACCGGAAGACAGTTATCTCCACAATAATTTTATTTTATTTAGCACAAATATTGGGACATAGAATTAAAAACTGAAACTGTAAACAGTATGCCATGAAATTAGAAGAAAAAGTGACATATCCGAAGACAAAAGCAGTAAATATGCTCACACAGTTCTGCAAACATTGTCAGTTTTGCTTTGCACTTGGACAACGCATACATGATTTTCATATATGGAATATCGCCCTGGTGATGGTGGCAGCAATGATCTCATAAACGTTGATAAACTCCTACGAGATTAAACGGCGCTATAATCCAGAAGACAGCAATCTTTGAGTTTCTTACTGTTTCCCGCCGTTTGTCTTGTCCGGTAGAGCGTAGATTATGGAGAAGCTCGCGATTTTGAAGTAGATAATAGTGACGGGACACGAAGTTTGTTGAATTCCACCTGCAGGCCGCCTAAGAAATTAGCGCTAGAAATCAGATATTTGTGGCTTAGTTGAAGGTGAAGCCGGAGAAGAGGAACTGCAGACTTTTAAGTTATCAGGAAGATGAGGTGAAGGTTAGAAATAACGACTTTCAACGTTGCAATGAAATTACTTACCGCAGTGTGATTCACGTCTACGTGTATTTTCCGACGAGTTTAGCTATTAGTAGACCCTATTAGACTCTACAGTAATATACAGCCAAGACGGAGCATGGGGTGACGCGTCCGAAATCTCGAGAAAGACATCTCTTCGTCATTCACACATTAGAAGTTTAATCACAGAGCAGAAGCTACCGTCCAGTCAGAAATATCAATGGCCAATAATATTAGTTGTTAGAACAGGTGCAGAGGGGCAGAGCTGAGTGGTCTACTAAATGTACTGCAAATCCGTGAGAATGGCACAGCAGGGTTTTGTTCCATTTTTAATTTTGTGTCCTTTACTCATGGTTTTACATATTTTATATCATGTGCTTTTAGCTTCACTGCGTGTTTTAGTTTCTTCGCAGTTTTAATGTTGGTCTTCTGGTTTATAACGGCGCGAGAACTTGCGGATGGCTATATTGTTTTTGTACCTATAACCCCATGCGATAACAACTCAGAAATCTAAGATCGACAAAAATAACTTTGATGAGGAAGGTCTGTACTGATTTACTATGTGCTTAATAATTTCTAGGGATAACTTTCTTAACTATGTGAAATATCACGTACTCACGGCGGCGAGTAAGAAGTTTTCGGAGGTACCTGCTGCTACCATCATCAGGACGATGAGAAAGTCGTGAGCGAAGAATTGGTTTGATATGTCTCAAACCAATTCCTCGCGCAAGGCTTCCTCACGATGGAGGCAGCAAGCACATCTGAAACGTCGATAAATTTCTACCAAACTGCATGACACAACATCCCGGAAGACAGACACCTTTACCTTTTCTAGCATCAAAACAAATTACAGTGACAGTTTCTTATACGTAAAAGCAATCGTTGAAATGTATAATACATGACCCGGCAGAGATATACAAACAAAAGTAACAGGATGAAACTTTAAATAAGAATGGAAAATGTTTCCGTCGATGTCAGCTAGATTTTGGTTCTGTGTAGCGTGACACTGGTTGCGAAGTTGCGAAGGGTGGGCGCGAGTAAACCTTGATACGATGTGACGGTGGCATCACTTCGGATTAGAGCAGCCGGAGCACCAAGCGAACAGGGCATGAACTAGACAGAACCCTATGCCTCACTAATGGACGGAAATCTGGTGAAATTGTGACAGACATTGGCAAATAATTGACAGCTTCACGAACTACGCTGACATATGCCATCAAAAATAATAAGTTTAAACACATGTCCGGCGATTCTTGAAACCATGGAGATGCAATAACTCATATTATACTTTTATTATTTATTGTCTGCAAAAATTAAGAAAAATGCTTGTAGATTATTTGGTATGATTCTGTTCCTATTTATAATTCCATCATTTCGTAGTATTTAGTGTGATACGAACAGTAATAAAATACCAAAATCATGTAACGTTATGGGAAGAAAAATGGGACATGATAGTGTTGACTTCGTTATCTCACGAGAGGGCGGGTCTGTCCTTTGTCGAAAGTCTTTGCCAATATCATCTATACGTTTTCATAGTTTGCACACTTAAACAGATCCACAATACACACACACAACTTGCATACTGACCCTTCAAAATACAGTGTTAACTGCATGTACCACCTGCTTCGACAATCTATAACTACGCGTTGTGCACAGGATGTATTAATTATTTTCGTCCGATTTTCCGAGTTAACAGGAATTATTCCTTAAACAGCATTAAGTATTGGTCCATGTACTAGAGAACAAGAACTGTATCTTTAAATATTCGAGCAAGACTCCTCCCCTTAGGCTTTGTTTCTTGGTGTTTCGGTTTCAAAGGCCTGATTCTTAATACATAATGCACAGTGTCCCGTTACGGAATTTGGGATTTTAAGATGCTATATTTCATGTAAACCTATAAAGATACATAACACCTTGTGACATAAAAAATAAGCTTATCTCAAAGAGTTTTTGTCAGTAACCTCCGCAAGCGAAAGCAAGGTGTGTGTGCTCTGGTTGAACTGAAGTCCTGTTCTCTTGCAAAAACCGTTTAGGTGGAACGTACCACGGAGATACACCTATGGACAAAGCCACCAGATGTTTCGAGGTACCGTACCACTAATGTTTTGCCAACAAAGCACGCTGGTCGACCGGGAATTTCTGAAGAAGATGTTCAACGGCATATGACGATACATTTCACGCAGGTACAAGTCCGACGGACAATGCAACCGCTAACAGCACACAGAAGACAACTGCGCACAACGTCCTGCATAAACGGTTACGTTTGTACGCGTACAAGTTGTGGCTCATCCAAGTTAATAAGGAAGACAAAGTGCTACGCTTTGATTTTACTATCTCTGTTCTGGATTTCCTAGCAATGGATACAGACAACCCGAAAGGAGATGTTTTCACGGACGAAGCCACTTTTTATATATCAACGGCGTAGCGAACAGCAACTGAAAATCCCAGAAAATGTTTCCAACATATCCGTGAGTGCTAAATGTGGTTTGTTGCATTACAAAATTTTTGGAACTTTTCTTTCTTCTGCTATCAACTATTTTAATATACTAAAGATCTACGTCTGTCCTCAGGAGGAGTTAAAATTTGACAGTGGAACCACGGTTCCGGAGAATCTGACGTAAATACGTCTATACGGAAAGGAAGTTTATATATTGGCTTTATTCTAAATATTTCCTTTATACATGCTTTACAATTGAGTAAAGTTTGATTAAGACATTGCTTATTTAACCTGAATTAGTTACGCTTAAGATGGGTCTGTGATAGCTGAAATATGTTATAAAATTTGTGCACTTTAGAGTATCAACATTTTGTGCAAACACCATATCTATACAAGATTTTGATCTAGTAGTACTACATTGAGGATTTGACATCAACATTAAGCCCATAAATGTGACAAAGCTTTGATGACGTTTCCTAGGTTAAAACAATGCCGAGTAAACACGACGTTCCCTAGGTAACCATTGTTGTCGATTTGTTGATACGGATCTTACACATTTTCTTTCCACGTTTTCGTTGCATGTTTTCCTTTCACTTTTTTGCCGAATGACATATAGACGTATTTACGTCAAAATCTTCAACGTGACGTTGCTCCTCATTACAGTAACATCGTTCGCGACTCACTCAACGCGAGTTTCCCTTTTCGGTGGATTGGATGAGGACGCCTGATCCCATGTCCGTCGACTTTCAATTGAAGAGCTGCCTTGTCGCTGAGGTAGAACATGTGGAAAATAATAGTTCTTTGAGATAAGTTTCATTCCTCTGTCGAATGTTGTTATGTATCTTTATTACTTAATAACATGGAGCCTCTTAAACTTCGGTGTCTGTAGACGGCCTGTCAGTCTAGGCTTTGTAAAGAGTATTATGCGTTATGTTACTTATTGTGTGAAATGCCATGAATAGGGATAGGAGATAGGTCCGGCGACTGAAATTGGCCAGGTGGGGCCATGAGATGAAGCCGTGTCCGGGACAAAAGAAGGAGCTTTTGGGAAGCACCGGTAAGTGAGGGTTGGATAAGACTAAAAGAGGCATTGTTTAGTTGACCAGAAGGGTTCTACCTTACATTTAAAACAATATTGGGCCTAACTTACCGCTTCTTTGTATCAATTGATATTATTATAAGTTGTATGCGACCATCTGTTGAGGTCAATGGCTTAGGAATAGGCTGAGGGACTTTTCTGAAATTGCTAAGAACTCGGTAAGAATTTAGATTCTCAAGGCTCAGTGTCGAGACGACTGTCTTGTTGGTTGTTGCGCCATGTTGTCTGGAAGACGCTCACCGCCGCTCCAGAGACTACATTTCGCAACGACTCAGAAGACACCCACTATCCTAACAACTCGACTGAAAATTCTGCATAATAAGCTCTAATCAAAATGTGTACCTCCTTATCTGTAAACAACTTCTATAATATTATGAGAGTTTTGTTGGTTCGTGGCTAAGAAAGAAAATGGATTCCCAACAAGTAACAAGGACGTAGCAGGAGGTTTTAATGCAATGAAAGCCAATGCCTTTATTCAAGGAAGTTCAATGTAGTAGAAACCAAACTTTAAAGTATACAGAATGGTGCAAAAGTTAGAACACAGCTGGAATTTAAGCGCATATGCAGGAATAACGAATGACCCCAAAATATTTATACTCATTCAAGAATTCATTATCAGCTGTGTGGAGACGAACCAGTGGTTTAACAACGAGACGGGGCACCACCAAATTACCATTATTATCAGTGCCTATCTTGACAACAGATTTCCTGAAGGATGGATAGGACGCAAAGGATTTGTTGAGTCACCCACACGATCGCCAGATTAATCCCATCATACTTTCTCTCGTGGGGTTACTTCAAGGACGCGAGCTCCGACAAGAAACTGAAGAGTCTTGCTCAGGCGCAGCAGCATCAACTTTGGTCGCCGCTCGTCAGTCAGCTGTTCGCCGCTGTCGACTGTGTCACAAAGCTAACGGTTTTCTCGTTGAACATCTGCACTAGATTCGCTAATTCACCAAGTGCCAATGCTGACGTATGTAATGGTTCAGTTTGTTAAAATATATTTATTTTATTAACTGATTGTGTGTACTTATGTCTCTGGGATATTCTGTATATTTTTAGTCTCACGATTTTGCGTTGAGTTTAATTAACTTTCTTGTCTGTTTTTACGAATAACTTTACAAGCACATATAAAAATACTCTTTTACTTAAGTATTAAAAATGACAGCTTTCCGCGTTGATATAACTATGCAGCCATTGTGTCTCGTCTTTTGTATCATTCTGTATATCATGGATAGCAAGCCGGCACTGTTTCATTTTACGTGTACACATTTCTTTCGAAATTCCTTTACATGAAACAATGGTAAGATTGCAACTTTAAAATATGAGCGGAGCTGAAAATAAAGTAAGAACAGCAAGATGCTTCCAAACAAAATAGAGACGCGAGGAAAGGATGTTGCCAACCTACCAGCAGCAGAATACTCTTCTGCGGTAATTTCGATTTCAGTTTTAGCAAACGGACAGAGGACAGAGATAAAACGGTGCTAGTCTACTTTAATTATTGTCTCCACATTCCCATTAAAATAAACACAGTTAAACCTCGTTAGAGCGCCACACATTGTCCTCCAACAACGCTGGAGTTAACCCAGGGTGGCGCAAAATTCAAATTTTAATTGTAAATTTTTAACTGAAGGCGACTGATGGTTCTACGTCACAGAAAGGAGTGACAGCTAGAAATATTTGACTGTCTTGCATCATGATTCTGCTCTTTGTAAGCACGCACTTCTTCAATCACAAAACTGAAAACCATATCAGACGAAGGCATTAATTGTAATTATACTTCGTTACTTACGAGCCTGGAGATTGAATTCAAAATAAAGTGTGCTTCTGTGTTCATTATTAATTACTCAAAGTATGCACAGAACACTTAACATGACAGAAGAGTCCAATACCCCGTCAAACAGCAAGAAAAAGTGTATCTATAACTCTTCTGCCACAATTCTGATTAATGTTTCCATTTTAAAATTAACGACCCTCCATATAACACGTGCATTTATTACACCAACCTGGATTTGTACTGTCGCTATTTCTACCGCTGACTGCAAGTAACAAACCCACCCCCCAGCCCAGAGTCGCTATAAGTGACCTTTGACCTTGGTAGTACGTATTAATTAACGCAAAATTTTTGTTGTACATTATTTTTACAACTGAATATTCCAGTGAATTATTTGCATAGTTGGTAGAGACAAAAATTACATGGCGCTCTATGGAACTTATAATGCATAACAGTGCATTTCTTTTTCAGAAGACGATAGTGACGTTAAGAAATTTATATATACGCTTACATGCATATATATATATATAATTAGACCTAATTGTTAGGGTTAGATATTATTTTGTAATTAATTTATTGTTTGTTGTTGAGGGAGCGTCTTTTGGAAAGATCAATTGGAAGACCAAGAAGATGGGAGAATAAATATTATCGTTTACTATTATTTGAAACATAACGAAAAGAAACTATTTATCATGCGCTGTGCAATGCGCCAGTTTGTTTCGTGGTAATCTGATATTATTATCTTTAACTATAGTCGAACTCGTTTTCTGTAAGTTCTTCCTGTGGAATTAATACAAATTGCCAACCACAGTTCTAAGATTTCACGTAAAGGAAAGGACACTGTACAAGAGGTGTAATTTTCCGAAATCGTGTCTAATTAAGGACATAGTTGAGTCAGGCGATCCTATAATTCACAATTCCTTCAGAACAGCAATTATCTGTGAGCAGACCGTGTAAGCTCTTGCCTCTCTGACTACCCGATATGTATTTTACTGTCTACTTTTGTAGGAAAATTTAATTACGTGTATTTGTATTTTCTAAATTTTGCTAACGTTTCCCTAAATGTATCTCTTGCTTTAACAAAATAAATTGTAGTAATATTTTTCACCAATTGTTGAAAGAAATCGCTTACTAATCTAAGACGCTGAAAAGTTATAACGAAAACAATGCATTTACAACGGATTCTGTTTCTTGATATTTTGTTTCAGAAATACACATTTTATCATAGTACAAGAAAAGACGGTTATAGAAAGCAGTGGAACCACATGACCCAAGAATATCATAAATAAAACCATACGTGTTTGTAGGTGTCTCTGCAAGTGTACAGGGAGCAATATGTCCACTTTCACTAGACAAATGCATTTCGAAACTTAATTCAATGATTTTATGCTAACGTCAAGTTCTATTTGTCTGATTTCCAAAAAAATTAATGTTCAAAAGAGTGACGTGCTTGTTTTGTGTGAATGTAAATATGGCTTCTCAGTCTATGAAGAAGCTGAGATTGAGCTGAGGGGAATACGAATACAACTGAAGTACCAAGAAGTCTTGTTCCTTAGTTGAAATCATTAAAAAATGTTGAGCTGCAGTTGAGTCGTGACATATATGAGATAACAATGAAAATATACGTTTTGGTTCGAAAACCTGATAACATGACATAACTTGGGGGAGATGTATTTGTATAAAAGCATAGTTTTAACATATATTTTACGATGTACGTTATGAAGATGTAAAACTGATTGAAATGACAAAGGATTATCTAAATTATATAATGATCGTTAAAAAACAGGGTAGTGCTTAAGTGAGATTATCAACTGGTACTGGAATACACTGCACCGTGTGGGCAGGAAATTCTAAAACCTTCCCCACCATCTTTTTAAATCAATCCGAGCTCTGCCGAGGTGTGTTTTATGCCAAATGCAACCGCGAAGAATACATGTATAAAACTGCATCTCAGTACGCCTTCCATTTGACATGGAAGAAATGAGACTGTACAAATAATTTATATTTTATGACTTTATCTAATTAATTATTTGTAGCTTGCAATTTTGAAGTTTTGTATCCAAAATGTTCGTTCGTACATTATGTATACATGTTCCCGGAAAAATCTTTGTATGCCGCCGAAATGTTGCTTCACTGTGTGTTTCTGTAGTAAAAATAAGACCACTGGCTCGCGGTAGGTTCTACATGTAAAAGCAAGTAATAAAAAACCTAACTTGTCTTTGCGCTGTGCGTGGGGCAGCAAACACGGGACGAGGGTGTAAACTTCCGACCTTGCAGTGATGAACGGCCGTGCGGCCCGAAGAGCGTATCGGGACTTGGCTTACCCACTGTGCAAGCTCCTCTGTCCGCGATAATATATTTCTTACGTGTCTCCCAAGACAATTTAGGCCATAAATTGAATTAAAATTACAGTAGGTGTGCGATCAGTAACAGTTTCCGCTGGTAGTATTTTCCAGTAGTTACAACTTAATGCTTCATTATAGATTCGTTTCATAACGAAGCCAAAGGCTTCTCCGTTTACTTAGTCATTCGGACTTCTATGCTGGTGTCGCCTGACAAATGATATTCGTCTAACTTATGTGGTTTGAAGATCGGAGACAACAGGACAGGCAACTGTGCCTTTATTTTCACGGAATGCACAAAGTGAACGTGTACGAGGGAGGTCATATCTGTCTGATATTGCCTTCATTTCATATCCGAGATCTCAAAACGGATTTCGGTGAGACTGTGTTTATACGACGCTTGCAGATTAATAGTAATTTTAAAAAAATTATCACGAACCAAAACTCGTCTATTACATAAATAAGCTTCTCCTCTTTGCCTCTACATACTTCTGATGCAGTCGAAACTGGTATTATGTGAGATACAAAACAATCAAATGGGAAATGGTTACTAAACAGCATCTGTTAACTCCACCTTTAAGTCGAAGTTCTTGTAAATAACATCAAAGAATTCATTCTGCATTTCAAGTGAAATGCAGCTCGTCCACAGTATAAATATAATTTCGTTAATCTTGTTTAAGAAAATAATCCGCGCTTAGACCTACAATGAGAATCATACAAGACCCATTTTTTTTATCAAAAAGCTCAGTTATTGATTGTTATAACAAGTGGTACATAATATTTACCATTTAGCTTCAAATTACGAGCAATGCAAATTAATTTGGTACACATCTTTGTTGGTGTGCTACAGTAGATTCTTGACAGAAGATGGCTGCAAACTTCAGACTCACCGCCGTGAAAACCTCAAACCCTACAGATTCGTCACACTTTAATGGAAGTGTAACAAACGTCTGACCAAATGTAAAAAACCAGTATTGCGGAATCATCGGAATCAGCTGGTTAGTGTTATCAAAATTAAATCACACTACTTTTATCTAAATCTTGGAACTCATTCCTAACACTAAATATTGTTGTCCTCTGTTCTTTGTGCGATGGCATCCATTATATTTTACATCGATTTATTTTGAGAACAGATACGTATGAATATTAAATCGTGCCTTTTGTGGGGGGGTTCCATATATACCATTTTACGTCAATTCTCATTCAATAAAGTGGAGATAGCGGTGTGAATATATGTTAGATATTGGCAGCTGCGTCTGCAAAGTGGTTATAACTCATATTCTACTGTAGTGTTCCAATGAGTATTCCTCTTTCCTATTTTATGTCTTCAAGCATTAACACCGTGATTTTAAATGCTACGTTTTCTTATACGCTTCACCAGTTTGACTCTTCTCCTGATAGGCCTCCTGTCGGAGAACATATTCATAATTCTTAACCTTTTGAACGTTTTCCTTAATATCCAAAACACGTTAGCGTCCCAAACTAGTCACTGCAGTAGACCATTGCACGAAACCGTATTCGGTTTCTAGTAATGAAACATCGAAATAAAAATTTTTTATCGGTTGGTTTCCATTGTCTTTCTTCTGCCATACAAAGTTATAAAAAGGGTTATAATTTAAAGGTTATGGGCTCTGAGCCAATTCCGGTTTCATTTCAGTTTTTGAACATGACCAGTGTTTGTTCATCCTAGAGAATGATAAAAATCTAATACCAATAATACTTTTGTGTGTATTCTTTCTGCACTTTGTAGTTAACTTTTTCATTCGTCTAACAATGCTACTAACAGAGTAAATGTTGCTCATACCATCGAGAGGTCCAGAATCACGGATTTTAACAAGCTGTTCATTCTTCTGCTTAGTTCTTTTAAGTCACGACCATTTCTTCTTCTTATTTTCTCACACATCAAAGGCCACACAGAGACTTGTAGTAGAGTTACACGAAGAATTGTACAAACAATGTCATTACTCACTTTTAATGCTTCGTCTTAATTTTATGTAACAAATGAGTTGTTGAATACTTTCTCCACCGATTAATTCGCTTCTTAAGAATCACGAAACAACTAAAATTCTTGCGGAACCGTACAAATCAGTTTTCCCGATCGATACGTGAAACAATTTAATCGTTTACTATACAGCTCGTCATGTACACGATTGGAACAGCTTCATGGAGAGTGGCGGCAGACCTATAACAATGACCTCTACACCAACATACTTTATTTCTCTAGATGCTACACTGTGCTGTATGAGCCGGGATAACTCAGTCAGTATAGTGACTAGCTACGGGCTGGACGACCGGGGTTCGATCCCCGACGGGGGCAGAGGATTTTCCCTCTAGCCTCTGCGTCCAGACCGATTCTGGGGCCCACCCAGCCTCCTCTACAATGGGTACCGGGGTCCTTTCCCGGGGGTAAAGCCGGCCGGGGCGTGATGCTGACCACTCACCCCCATCTAGTACCGAGGTCAAGAATGAGTAGGAGCTATACCTCCACTCCCCCCAAGCACATACATGGCGTATAGTGGGACAGATTTACTTTACTGCTACACTGTGCTGTACAGATGTCGAACATCGGCATAAACTCACACCTGTAATAATTGTCCATATTTATTACGACCATCTGAAAATTCCTCCTAAGTTCCTTTGGCATGAAAAAATGAATTCTACAAAAAACAGGAATTCAAAGGCTGAAGGGTATAAAACCCTAGTTAGAAAAAATTCGTTTCCGATGCAGACAGAGAAATGACGACCAATCATGCTGAATCGCTAATTAAAACTCATGTCAGAGTAAAATTACTAAACTGAAGTGTTTGAAATCCGTTTAGCAAACGAATATTTTACATCCAGTTGGTCTAGTGTTTTGCGCAATCACTTGTTAGCACATGGAGACTGGCGTTGTGAATGGGGTCCTTTAGGTCCAATCGTTTTTCTCATCACCATGTTCTCAAACACCCTCAATCGTATGACTACATGTACACTTTAATAATAAACAAGATACGAACTCACATGAGAGAGTCAGAGAAGGATAGAGTTGTCGCAATAACGACCGACTGACTACACATCAACTTAATGCCAAGAAATGCCGGCACGGAAGAAGTTACACAACTTTATTATTGTTTGTGCGTTAGGCCCCATAATTAGACAGACCATTACAACATTTACAGCCGTGATTTAATCGCTTTAGAATATATATATATATATATAATAAAAATCTTATATAATGCTTTCGTACTTGATAAAATATTATAAGCCTCGTTCACTACATACGAACCGATCTCATACAAATTATATTAAATGAGTTACGAACGTTCGTAAGTGTGAACGAAGCTTTAGTCGTCTTAGGCCAGAAGATGGTGACAGTATGTCCATCTGAAACTTTGGTATCTATCAAGTCCACCCGGCGTTACTACACAGAAGACCAACACCAACATAAACTTTGTAAATTATAGACATACAAGATTTGTCAGAGATGACTGTTTCGGCAGGAGCCTTATGCAAACAGAACGACACATCATAACAAAGACTCTTACCCACTTAACAGCCAGCAAGTGTCTGAGCCACTTCGGGTCATTTCTCGTCTGCCCTCTGTCCCCTCCTGCTCCATCAAGATGCTGCCAGCGAAGTGAGACATGATTTATGAGACCTAGCTAGCCGGGACCTCTGTATGACCTTCCTGTCTTTTCTGTTCCACCGCCTGGAAGCATCTACGCAGACAACATGCATACATGCAACAGACTTGCCCTTACCTCCTCTTCACTTCACATAAGTTCACTGCAAAGTTCCACCCCGCCTGTCAGCTCGGATGGATTCCTGTAATGTTGATATACCACACAATTCGAAATGACAACTGCCATAACCATCAGCCTCCTGCCGACAAAATGGTTCCAGCCCATATCTGACGAGGGCGGTCAGGGGTGTACAATAAACACATAATATTATTTCTTTTTATAAAGAAGTCGACAAACACTGGAATGGGCGAAGACTGTAACAAAGAATTTTATTCTGTAGTTTTCATCAATTTCATTACACAGACATATTTTCATTTAACTCGCAGAATTATAATTTTTATTTTTACAATCTATCATCAAAAAACAGTTAAAATATTTCCATATTACCTACAAACTTGTGACTGTGTGTTGGGTCATTATTATTTCGAGTGCCTTCATTCAGCGGAGAGAATGAAGAACTTTTTACAGGAAGCAATTTTTAGGAAAATATTGATTTATGGAGTTTTATAATGAACACTAGGTCCATATAACTTACACAATGTGACATGTAAACACCTGTGATTATCTGATTAGACTTCTGGTTCTTGCGCCGGCGACTATGAAGATGAGAGGCTTCTGGGATGTCGCGCCATGTACACTGGTGATACGTCGGCAAACTTCTACCAGAGTGCAAGACAAATATC